TGTGTGCTGGTGCCAGTGACAGGAGTCGGCGCTGAAAAAGCAGAGAAGAAAGCAGCGGGTGGTCGTGGTGCTGCTGGGGGCAGAGCATCCCCCCCTGCTCCAGCAGCGCAGCCCAGGCCCTCCCTGCAGCCAGCAGCACCCAAAGCCCCCCGCACCAGCCCAGCCCAGCCGGCCAGGCCTGGGGCAGAGCCCTGGGGACATGGCCAGTGACACTGCATGCCACCACGCTTTGGTTACTTTGGTTCTGAACAGCCAAGTAAGTGCAACCAGGCGATCACACGTTACAGGGAATTTTATCTCTATCCTCATATTCATCTCGGCTGCAAGTCCCATGTCAGCATGAACGTGTTCAGTTGTGATTACTTCATTTCTGCTTCTGCCCTGTGATGCCGCAGTAAAAACTTTAACAATTTAAACAGCTGAAGAGCATGCTTCTTTTGCAGATACCAGTTCCCTCTCTCTGAATCAGGACTGAAATAGGGCAAACTCCAAGCTGGTGATCATCCAATGGGAGAAGATGATAGTAAAAGTACAACGGCTTTGTAATCTGTGGGCAGCTAGTAACGCTCCAACCAAAAACAAGCAAAAAATCCTAAAGGCACCCTCCACCCATGGTGCTGCAGAGGGGTCTGAGCGTCAGCTAATGTCCAGCACTCTGAACCTGCTGCTACTGATTTCTGGAAAATGCAAAATACAATCTTTGAGCAGGAGGCTTGTAGGACATACCAAGGCTTCTCCAGCCGCCTCCAACCACCCTGGCACAGGCTCTGCCCCACGCCACCCCAAACAGCTGGGAAGATGGGAGAGCTGCCTGCCCTACCCGCTGCCGAGCACAGAGCCTGTGCCCCAGGAGCTGGCTGTTTATTTTGTTTTAGTTAGCCCATGCTCCATGCTGAATCTTCCTCCCTGGCATGTGTGCTCCCATTTAGTTCATCTCACTATGCAAGATGCACTTGCCAACTATTCCCATTTTAACCAGGTTTGGCTTCAGCTCGCGGCAGGCAGCTCGCTGTTCCCAGCTATCCGCAGGCTCTCTGCCCGACGCTGACACCTTTGCTGTTTGCAGCAGCAGAGGGTCTGCCTGCCTTACGCTGCTGCGCTCATCTCCGCTTTCCAAGAGCCTCCTCCACACCATCTCCTCCTCTGACCACCTTCTCCTGCCTTCAAGCCACTGAGCTGTGCTCAGTGCCTGTACAGCTCCTGCGCTGCCTGCACCAGGCTCCCTGCCTGCAGGCAGCATCCCAGCAGCTCTTCCAAAAGCCTCTGCCTCCCGCACTAGCAGAAAGCCAGCTGGACCTGTCAGACTGTCTGCAGCATCTCAGGAGCCAGCCAAGGACACGGCATCCCCCGACTGCCCAGAGCAAGGCAGCAGCGGCTCAGACGCAATGATCTGCCCACGGCCAGGGCATTCACCAGCAAGAGCAGGGAGGAAGGGGCTGCTCGGACACGCTAGGACATCGGCGTCTTTGCTGCAGAGGTGCTATTCAAGAAAGACACTAAATATTTCAGTAGGGAAAATGAACTTTGTACCTGGTACCTTGATAAAAGCTTCTATCGGAGCCCCTTGTTCTGCTTTGGATTGATTAGAGAGGAAATTAGGATTGATTAGAACAACTGACCTCCCCAGTGGCTGAACACGCCAAGTAAGGTCTTCATAGCTCTCCTGGGGCTGTGCCAGAAGCTGTCCTGGTTGGAGGGCAGAAAGTCTCCTCTCTGGATGAGGAGGGAATGGGGAACAGCAGAAAAGCCTCCTGTAACCGTGGCTCTGGGCTGCCCAGCCTGTCCTCAGCAGCCATCAGGCTGGCTGCGGCTGGATGGCACTGTCCTGGCACAAGGAAGGGTGGTCCCTGGATCACCCCGGTAAGCACCAGGGGCCAGAACACACCAGGGTGAAGTGGCTGCAGCAACCAATTCACCCATTTACACCAGTGGCTCTGCAGCGGGCACAGGGAAAGCTGCACGGGGAAATCGGCTGTTTCTAGCTTGTCCCATTTCTCCATCAAATCAGGACGTTTGCTGGACCCTGACTATCCCACAGAGACTCCTGTGGAGAGGAACAAGTCTCTGGAAAGTAAACTTAAGTATCTGTGAAATTTTGTATTTATTACTTAGCTCATTAATCTTTGCTGAAGAAAAAAGTCCTCCTGATGTTTTATTCATGACAATTTGCTCCTGGATTCCAAGTCCCTTCGGCTTCCGCTGAAAGAGCGAGAGGACCCAAAGGGCAGCCGGGAGCCCCCACGCTGGTGCAAGCTCACACCCCCTGCACACAGCTCCCTCTGCTGCAATCTGGCTGCATGTCATTTGACACTTTTAAAAATAATTCTCCAAGTAAATACACTGTCCACAGAGCTGACCTTTAAGGGGATATCGAATTGTCCATGTGTAAAGGAGGGGGAGACAGTTCACCCCGGCAGCACAAAGCAAGGCAGAAAGGTCCACCAGGCCAGGCAGGACACGACCCCCTGGGCGGCTGCACCACGAACCCGCGGCACAAACGCGTGACGAGGTCTGCCTCCTTCTCAGGGATCCAGATGACGGAGATCTTCACGGGCACCCGTGGAGCGAACCTCTCCTGCCCACATCAGACTGCCAAACACTTCACAGCTTTCAGACCTCCCGCATTTTTTGCCAGCATTTTTCACACAATGGGAGGTCTGTGACTCCTCCTGCACGGCAATCCCGCGGCGCGTGTGGTGCTGCCATCCTCACGCCAGCCTGTATGACAGCGCACGGGGAACGGCCAGCACCAGCAGCACCCGTGTGCGGGAAAGGTTCCCCTCCTCTGCCAGAGACCTTCAACACTGCAAATACTGGCAGGAAGCCCCATGCCCTCTTGTGGCACTTCAAACACCAATAATGAGTATGACCAAATTCGCACCAGTTTGGCATACTTTTGCTCCAAACCTTGCAAATTGCTCCTTATTCCCACTTCATCAGAGCCAGGTTTAGGCTGGCACAGGCTGTAATATGGCGTTTGCTGTTGGGGTGGAGCGAGGAGAATGATTTTCGTATGTAAGAAGTGTTTCAATAAGATGGGAGGGAAAAAAAAAAAGGTAAATATTCTCGATTTCCTTCATCAGTCTCGCAAACACACAATGACCCACGTGCACAAACAGAAATGCACACGGGCACGCTCACAGCTCTCAGCACTGGAACAGCAGGGTAATCCCCACCACGAGCCTGTGGCCTCTGCATGAGTGCACATCACTACATGTTTTATGAAACGACAAGTGATAGAGGCGGCTGAGGCCAGCCCGACACTTAACTTGGGTTTTCCTCCTGTAAACTAAGTTAAGTGCTCCTTGCTGTTTTATATGATTCCCATCAATAAAATATCACACAGATGCCCTCCTGTATCTCTGAATCTAGCAAACGGACTGAAGAAACCTGAACAAGTGGCCCTGACTGTTAACAAAGTCATCAGGAAAAGTCACACTCGCTTAGTGATGGGCTGTAGAGTAGAACCGATGGTACATGCCAGAAAAACAGGCACTAGCCTCCAACATGTTTAAAAGGGATTAAACAAAATCACACAGACTATAAAGCATTTCACACTGCGGAAAAAAAATGTGTTTCCCATCAATATTTTAAGCTCCCCTAACATTGCCTCTATTCTGAAAAAGCAAATATTAAATTATTCACCACTCTGCCTCATTTTATGAACTCCATTCCATTGTATGTGGGTTTACTCCTCTTAATTAACCAATGTACCAGCAGAAAAGGCATAAAACTAGGTGTGGGCACCGTGTCCCTCCACTGAACAACCCACTGCATCCAAAACCCAAAGGGGTTAGAGAGGGACAACAGCAAGTACTTAAAGATGGAGTTGAACCAAGAGTGCCTGCAGGCCACACAGCAGGAAGAGCCTCTTTGGTGTCCAGCCCCAGCTCCTGCACCCAGACGTCTCCAGGAACGCTCTCCCCACACCTTTTCAGAGCCGGGGCAGTCGAGCAGACACACAGCAAGCAAGAGCAGACCACAACCTGCCCACCGTGCTGTCTGCTGCTCCCCGCATGGGGTGAGTGGTAATCGGATGGACAGAACTTGCCATTGCCCTCAAACACCTCTGCTGCCCTGCACCACAACACTGCTTGCGCTGGGGAGAGCCAGCCTCTCCCCTCCACCACCAGTTATTAACACCCCAACACAGAAAACACACTGGGCACTCTCCCAGGCAACTCCTGCCCCAGGGTCTTTCTTTCCAAACCAGAGAAACAGCCTCGTCAGTTACCGTGCAGCTCTTCCAGGTCTGGTTCTCGCCACATGGAGGGCAAAGACCCCGCAACCGTGTGCCCTTGCCCCAGAGTCAGCTCGTCCTGTGACCCCCCCCTACCCCTCCTGGCTGGGGCTGGGCTGGTATTGCTGCACCAGCAACAAGCAGGCGCAGAGAATTCTACTTCAGAGGACCTAATTCAGCACAAACCACTTCTCCACAGTCTGAGAAAGGAGAATGCATTTCGGCACTGGCTGCGTTATTAATCTGCAACAGATTTAAAAGCCCTTTAAAATAGGAGCCAATCCCTGCTGGGAATATAAGTGATATCGTCCCAGAGTGTACATTTACATAGCTAATGCAGCTCTACTCCTGCAGGTAAACAGCTCCTTTCGCTCCTCAAACACTTTTATTTAGTCCCATGCTGGGGCCAGATTAGAAAAAACACAATATTAATTTTGCCTCCTGCAGACTAAATAGCATCTTTTCTTTTCCCCTGCAAAAACAATGAACAACTGCTAATTCCCTCTTGTGACTGCCAAAGGGGAAGGGCAGTGCGAAAGCTGCACTCGGAGCTATATTTAGAGGTGCAGAAATCTGACAGCTAAAATAGGGTCTTGTTTCTTTGTTTAATTTTGCCTCTGAATCTGCATATCTGCAGCCAGAGCTTCCCTGCTGCCGCAAATGACTTTCCCGAGACCATCGCATCGCAGCCGCCAAGAAGTCACCACTGCTTCAGGCATCCCCGAAGTGTCTCTTTCTCCTGATCTCCGGCCCCATCCAGCACTTCTGTGACGGGCTTTAATGATGAGGGGCTCCAGGGCTCGGGACTCGGTGGAGACGGGCATGCTCCACAGGGCGGCTCCGCAAGCCGTCCTGCCCAGCCATGGCTCTGCATCCTGCCTGCACCGCTGCCTGGTGCACAGGGTCCCCTTCCGTGCACAGCCCTCCTCGCAGCAGGGGGGCTCTTGCCCGAGAGGGGCGTTACAGGCAAACCGGACTGAGAAGCTGCCTCCCCAGGAGCTGACCTTCTCCTCCTCCTTGCCGATAGACACAGGTTAACCATCACTGTCACTTCTTGCCCACAGTGTCAAAGCAAGAGGAACTGGGCCACCTGCAGACGGATCAGGTCCAGCCTGGCCCTGCTCCCGGGAGGGGACACCTTCAGCAGCAAAAAGTTTAAGTGTTTCAAGAAACTTCCTGAGCCTCAGCTGCTCAGCTAATTCTGAGCCACCATCTGCATCCGGAGACTTGATAACTTGACAAGAGACATTGATTTTGAACAGATTACAAGATTAATTATGCCATATTCTTTAAGTGTATTTCAGTTCCTTCAGGAGCATGCAGCGTTGAGTAAGGGGTTGAGAGTCTCACTTACCCAGAAGAAAAGCTGTATTACACAGACAAACAGCTAAGGCATCGGTTGGTATCACAGACTTGTTGCTTCACTCCCCACAGAGGACGGGGAGCTTGCTGCCCTTACCCGGCCTCTTGTCCCCAGCTCAGACCTGAAGCTCCAGGCAAGGAGGCTGCCCCGGAGCACCGGTCCCCCTGCCCTCTGCCCAACACCAGGCAGGAGCCTCTGGAGGAACGGCTCATTATTAGACCTCATTAAGCTCACCCCTCCCTAGCTTGTACACTGCCTCAGGAATAGCCTGAGCTCAGGAGACAGAAGATCTTCCCAGAGCTAAATCCATCCTTGAACAGCAAAGATTCTAATGAGGAATGACACCTCCACTGAAGAGCAGTCTGCGGCACAGCATCCACCCAACGGATTCACAGAAATTATTATATGAGGGAAGAGAAAGCAACAACGCATGCAAAAACGTTTGATCCAAGTGGTGGGAAAATTATTTATAACAAGATCAAAGTTTAATCTCTTCAGATTAAATTGTTGGCCAATTCCTGCCACGAGGTATGTGAGGATCATCTGTCTCCATTACCTGTGGTTTGGCAAAGGGTTTTCATGCAAACTAATAATGCAACCGCAGAGGAATAGACAAGGACACAACAAGCCAGAGCCGATTTCCCTTAGACACAGCTAACGACTGAGGAGGGACCAAACCCCTCCGGCCAGCCAGGGGCCCCGTGCACGCAGGCAGGCTGGATGCTCGCTTCCCCTCACGTAAGGGAATAGAAACGTGAAATGTGAAGTGGAAAGGGACACTTACTTTAAGAAATTGTGCCACAGAACAGCATAGAAGAGAGATTAAATCAATCTTTTTGTTTCAAAAGGATAGCCAATATTTGAATTATCTATTTTAAGGAGGGGTTTTTGTGAATGGGCTGAAAATGTTGCTTCTTTGAAGGTGCTTTTTTGTGATCTGTAAATTCAAACTGCAGTCGGATCACAGAGCAGACTCATCCCTTGGGAGGAACCCAGGCTGTCACCACGTTCACTGCCACCCTGCTGCGAGCCAGCACAGTGCAGTGGGAGACAACGGGGCCACGGGCTCCTCCAGCACAGCCAGCTCCTCGCCTCCCCGTGGCACCAACCAAAACCCCCCTGGGAGAGTCGCAGGCCGGTCTCCATCTCCCCCTCCTGCCTGTGCTGCCTGCCATCACTGAGCACCACGTCTGTGCCACCAGAGCAAACCAAGAGGAATCGGGGCATCGCTGCGGCGTCGGGCAGGCAGAGCCCGAGGACGGTGCCCACGCCACCTCCAGACCCCACGTCCTCCTGGCAATGAAGCCACAGAACCGGCCACCGAGCAGACCCATAGACCCCAGAGGTCACACGCAAGTGTAAGACAGCACAGGCAACCATTTTCTTGGTGCAATGGGGGCAAGGCACCACCCGCCTTCAGTGGTCGCATGCACTACGTGGCAGCCGTACCTGTGAGGCCGGTGGAGACGTTGACCTCAGCATACTGCTGCCCCGACAGCGGGCTGACACCCGAGACACCGTTGACAGCCGCCACGCGGATGGTGTAGTTGACGTGAGGCAGCAGGTTCACCAGGGTGACAGTTCGGTCCACAAGCCCCGTCTGCTGCGGCACAAAGCCCACACCGCTGCCGCACTGCTCGCAGCGGCCCCGCAGCGCCGCCGGGCACCGGCTGCACCACAGGCTGTAGGTCAGGTCACTCCGTCCGCCTGCATCGGCAGGGGCACTCCACTCCAGGACCAGTGACGACTGCCGCAGGCTGTAGACCAGGTTCCTCGGGGCAGAGGGTGGACCTGGAAGCAGAAGAGTGTCTGTGCATGGGTGTCGGGACAGCTGGGCGCTGCCTGGGGAGGAGGACGAACCTACGGGTCCTCTGGGAGCAGCAGCACAGGCACCAGTGGCAGAGCAAGAGAGCGCAGTCCCAGGCAGCCACAGCACGTGGCAGCACAAGTGGACATGGATGCACTGATGCACACAGCACGGTAGGGACACCGGACAGAGGATCCCCGCCGGAGGGACACATTATACACAACAAGCCACAGCTCACACAGTGCACGAGAAGCACCCATCCAGACCCGGCACCTCCGCGGGGTTCAGCTGCAGGGGGCCCAGGAGCCCTGCCGCTGGTCAGACACTGCCCAGCCACGCTCGCTCTCGGGCAAAGCGGGAGGGTTTCTCATCGCTCTGCAGGCAGCTATATGGCATCCATCATTGGAATAGCTGGGGTCCAATCCAATTAACTAGAGGCCATTTAATTAAAATCTGTGAACTATATTGACTAAATGACTATGCCCTAGTTTTACCGGGGAGTCTGCAAGCCCGACCACACGTCTGCCTCATCAGATTGCAGCCTCAGCCTGCGAGCTCCATGGCATAGGGACAGCCCCTCCATCCCCTCCCCACCGTGGCAGTACCCTAGTGCAGACAGGACCTCCCAGGGACACACGTGCCCAGGCACAGCTCCCATGGGCTAGCAGTGGGACAGCCTCAGACAGCCTCCTGGGCACCCACTCGGCTCTGCGCTGCAGGACAGACGCAGCGTCTGGATCCCCATATCCTCACTTTACAAAGAGCCGGCATTTCAGCAAGACGTACGTGTGCAGGAGGCAGATGGTGGGTCTGATGGGGACCTAGAGTAGTTCTTCTGGCACGAACAGAACGTGGAGGCTTCCTCATGTGTGAAGCTGTGCTCAGGGCAAGGAGAGCAGAAAGGGAGACGGAGGGAAAGCTTGTAAAATCCAGGAAGGCAAGCTGAAAAGACAGAGAGAGGGAGTTATGGGAAGCACACCACAAAATGAATGGGCGATACATCTGATGACCGCATTTTCCCATTTCCTGGGACATCCTTTGCCTGCCACTGGCCAGCAGATATCACCCTCCAAGCTACCTTCACTGAATGCCTGCATGATCCTGGCACCAAGAGAGATGTGCCTTTGGTTTGACCCAGAATGGGAGATGCTGTAGCTCTGCACTGACTTCCAGGCTGCATCACCCTTTCAAGGGTCATGGGACATGGTTTAGTGGGCATGGTGTTGTTGGGTTGATGGTTGGACTTGATGATCTTGGAGGTCTCTTCCAACCTTAATGATTCTATGATTCTATGATTCTAAGGGGCTGGAGAAATGGTCAGACATCAGCTGGAGCAATGCGTGGAGGGAGCTGGAGGTTCTGGAGGAACATAGGAGACAAGGTGGCTGCAGAAAGATGCAGGATATGGAAAACACATGGCTTAGGGTTTAGAGTCAGATGAGCGGAGCAGAGATGACATGAGAGCCACAACAAGACTCAGCAACAACCCCAGAAGTGGAGGAATGTTGAAAATGGAGAAGTTGGAGAATTTATCAATCACCAGTGCTTCACATACAAACCCAAGTCACAAGGCCATGTCACTGGCAGCTACGGCTTTATCACTGTGGATTATACAGCAGTCACTGCAGGCCATGACATATGTGCTGAAGTTAAACAACAGTAGTATAAATTTGCTTTTATAGGTCATACGCAGGCTTCCCTTATCCTTTTAAAAGTACCTCTGATATGCAAACAAACAATTCATTCACACGCTGGTCAAGGATTTGCTTGGTCTTTACTACAAGCAGCATGCAGCCTACAAGCAATACCTCTAGCAGGACACCCAGAAGCTAGTTCTGCATCAAAGACTTATTACCTTACAAAACCAACAAAAAAGGCTGCAATACTCCATAAAGCAGTTTGCAACAGCTTCAGTTTGACCCTAAAACATCTGAAAAGGAAGCAGCCTGCAAAGAAACGTGTGCCTGTCATTGCTGGGTGCCACATAGGGATGGGGCAGGTGTGCCCCGTGCACACCTCCTGCCTGCCTGCACAGAGGTCCCCTCAGGCTGGCAGCCCCTCTGCACTGAGGGGTGACCCCCAGCAGGGCCAGCCTGTGGGGCAGGAGTTTGTCTCAGCTGGATTTCAAGCTAAACAGAAGCACTCATGTTTTGCTTGGCTTCTTCATCTTCTTGGTGTGGTGCTGCTGTCTGCTATCCCTTCATCAGCTCCCTGAATATTTAAACTTAATCACTTGCAAAGTTCCTAGATGAACAGCTCCACTAACGCAGTCCCCTCTCTTATCATTTTTAAGGAGTTGGCTGCTGAGACTGTTCCTTTTAAAGCAGATTATTCCAGTGCACTCTGGTTCATTAATTTTTAGCATGATATAAAACTGGCAGCTACAGCTGTGCTCTGAGGACAAAGCACTAGACATAGCACGGGGCAGAGAGGATCTTTCCCTGGGATGCTGAAAATGGGTGAACATTTAAGGGGAGGTTATTTCATCTACTGCAAGGTCTTTAGAAATTCAGTGTCCTGCAGTCACACACGGGTAGGGACCGCAGCACCATGGCTGAGGTTTGTACTCCCAGGGGTCCCTTCATCCCCTGGCCGCTGGCACACAACAGACAGCAGCTTGGCAGAGCTGGAAGCAGCAACGCACTTGAGATATTTCTGCTTTTCTTACATAATAGATACAGCCTTTCAAGAGCTGCCTAAAAGCCTTGTTCCTTGCCAGGAACATGCCAGGAGCCCTCACTGCTCTCGCTGGCTGCAAGGGGAGCCCAGACACCTTCACTGGCTGTCAGTGCCTGCCGGACAGCTGGAGCATCCTCTCCTGAGAGGTGCTGGAGAGGGGATTTCTGGGAAAATATGTGTTTCTAGGAAGAAGAATCGACATTTGCTCCTTGATCTTGCAAACTCTCGGCAACAGCTGCTGCCAGTACGGCACTGGAGAGCCTGCGGTTCTATATTCACCTCTCCCGTCTCAGTCTGCACACCTCCAATACCAGATAAAGCTAACCTTTAAAAGTATGGGCATGACAAACACAACAGAGAAGTAAGATTAAGACAGCAAGCCGCAATGCATAGTAAATGTCATTCCCTACTTAGGGTGCTAGATGAAACAGGAAAAACTAGCAAGTGTTAAAATTACTCCCAAAACTTCCAGCTTCCTCTTTATAGTTGAGAAACCAAACCAAAACTAACGTTACATTTATATAATGGAGACACAGTTAGCTTGCTTTTCCTTTAGTTAGGCAGCACTGACCACAACACGGCAGAAATATCACCAGTGGCCTGCTAAAGATCCCAACACCTTGCACGCACAGGACACAGCCACTCCCAGAGAGCAGAAGCCTGAGAGCACATCCTACCACAACGGAGGAGGCAGCCAGATTTGGAGGTCTCCGCTGAAAGAGCCACCGACAGTGAGCCAAACACGTGCTGCACCCATCCCAAAGAGGCAGAGAATCAGCAGACCCCCAGATCCCGCAGTCCCCGCACACTGGGGACAACATTTGAACTTCCCCGAACACTCAAGCGTTTCCTCCCGGCTCTGCAGGGAGGTGACCCGAGTGCATGCCCAGAGCTGGGGCTCGCATCGCCACAGAATCAGCCCTTCTCCCAGCGGCTGGAGGACGCGGGGAGACGTGCACCCCAAGAGCAGAGCCAGGGCACAGACTGTCCCCTGGTGCCTCCTGGCAGACGGCCCCGGGATGGGACAGGGGCTCATGGGCTTCGGTGCTGCACATCGATTGCAGCCTCTGTCTGCTGCGGCTCCCGCCCAAGCTTATCCCTCCCCA